GTTATATGACTTCACATGACTGGTATTATTTTCAGTGAATTTCCATTCTCTAGTTCCTCCATGAATTGTGGTTCTGGATCCCTGGAGTGGCTGCACTTGTATGGGTGTGTGTGTGAAAACCCTGCAGGGAGAGATGTTTGTTTTTCAGGGAAAGTTTGGTGTGTAGCTTGGAGAAGGAAAGTGCTTTAAAAAACAAAGCAAATGCAGTATGTGCTCCAAGGCCCGCCCTCATCCCCACCCTGCAGCCACCATGACAGGGTGCAGTAGAGGGGGGCAGCCAGGACACAAGGATGTGCTTCATAAGGACGCCCTGAAACTTACTCCTCAGCTGCTCTTCCCTGGAAGTTGCCTGCCCTTGGATAAAATATCTGAAGTAACTTACACCTCCGATGGGAGCTTGTGGTGGGTGTGGGGACAGAAATGTGTGTTCCTCAAGACTCCTCTCCCCTCTCCACAGCCTGGAGGCTCTCTTGTTCCAGAAGGGGATGGCGTTGGAGGGAGCCCCAGCCATGACTCACTCAGAGCTAATCCTTGGCAAATCTATCACCATGGAAACTGCCAATCATCCATGCTTTTCATAGCTTAATGGAACATCTGCCAGGGGAAGCAAGTAACACAAATCATTCATCCTGCCTCCTGTGTTTACATTTGGGCCCTGGTAAACAGAGAGAGAACCAGGGGAGGGCAACCCTCCACAGCAGGATGATAGCCAACTCGGTCACTGAGTAGTAGTGTGACCTTTATCAAGTCCTTCATCAGCTCCTCTGTGCCCCTCCTTTGTCAGTTGTAAAATAAAGGATCAGATCAGTGACTCTCGACCTGGTTGGGCTGAGTGGGAGGGACAGGACAGAATGTCCCCTAAGAGGGGTGGGGTCAAGAAGCCTGTGTAGTTGACAATCAACTCAATATTATAATCAAGGATCAGATCAGTGACTCTCGACCTGGTTGGGCTGAGTGGGAGGGACAGGACAGAACGTCCCCTAAGAGGGGTGGGGTCAAGAAGCCTGTGTAGTTGACAATCAACTCAATATTATAATTTTGTATTTGTAATATTACAAAATAACATTTTTATCATTTAAACCACAGAAAATAAATCTTGACTAATATTCTTAGGTAGCTATCTTTCTCAAAGGACGCCCCTCCCTGGTCCAGAATTTCCAGTGTCTATGAGGTTTTTAGTATAATTATCAAAATGGAATATGGATTAAAAAGACCAGCAGCTGAGACTCGCTGGACTAGCTGATTTCAAATGCTAATCCAGCTCAAACTCTACGCTAGTGGGTGGCTTCTTCAAGAGTCAGGCTGCAGCTAATTCCTGTTTGAGGGGAAAGTACTGGAAGGGAGGCTCACCATACCCACCCCCCCACTCAGACCAGGCCTCCCCCCATTACTAGGACCGGGGGCCGGAGAGGCAAAGGAGGGGAACTGTGGGAGCAGTGCAGTGGGGGCAGGGGGGCATTTCAGGGACCACGTTACTGAGACAGCCTGCTGGGTGCCTGAGGACACCCTGAGACAGCTCCCTCTGGAGTGCTGCCAGCCAAAGGTGTGACTGCTAATCTGGCATCTCAGCCCAGGAGCCTTCACATGGAGGGGACTCATGTCAGGCCCCAAGGGTGCTTGGACAGGAGGCTGCTTTAACTTGTACTCAATTTGTGCAGAGGAGTGGGGGGGGGAGGGGGGGCTGAAAACTTTTTTCAGATGTTAGCTTCTACTTTTATTCCCTTTTCCACTTTCCTTTTCTGTCCATTCAAGAGGAAGCTGACCTATATTTTACTGCCTTGGGTGGTAGATGTGGCAGAGAGGAAGCAGAATTTGCCTGCACGCTGTTTTGGCTTTTGTTTCTCAAAAGCCTAGGTCCTTAAGAGACTTAAGAGGATCAAGGAAGTAGAAAAGCAACAGAATGGCTGGGGAAAGCATGGGACAAGAACAGAAATTACCACGTAGTTTTCAGGGCCCAGTACAAAAAAAATACAGGATCCCTTGTTCGAAATTTATTGAGAATTTTTGCAAGGTCAATCATTAAACCACCCTTCTCAGCATGGGGCCCAGTGTGAATGCATAGGTCACACACCCATGAAGCTGGCCCTGGGCAGGAGTGTCCCCCACATTCAAATAGAAGATTGGCCCTGGAGTTGGGGGCAGGGAAAGAGAGGCCCACAGGTTCTAGTGCAATGAGGACCTGGGATTCACTCTCTGGTAGCACTGGTGGGGATCCATCAAGACCCCAGAAAGGATAAGGTTCCTAGGCTCAGCAGATTTCTGGTCCCCAAAAGTGGCTCAGAGGCAGCATAAACATGAAGAGCCCTGCAGACAGGACCATGGGAGGGCCTGCCTCTGTACACAGATGAGGAATAGCCAAAAACTCCCTAACATGCCTTGGTACAGTGCAATACCCTAAGACCCTGGAACTGGCGCACAGCATGGCAGGCCAGGTGGAGGCATCTTGAATGACTGATGTTAGCTTTAAGTCGTCCTGGCAGAATAAAGGCTTAGAGTCAGAAATTGACTCTCTTTTCACTTCATAAAAATGAAAGAGATGCACTACTTTTGACAAATCTGGATTCAAGAACCAGGATTCTGCCTGCCACTAGTGAGCCATAGTACCAGGTTCATTCCCATGGCCACTCCTCGAGGGGGGTCAGGTAGGAGGCTGTTGCAATGATCAAAGTGAGAGACGAAGCTTGGACCACAATGGTTCAGCGGTATAGACAAAAAGAAGGAGAGAGAATTCAGTAATATTTAGGAGGTAAAATTGACAGGACTTGGAGGATACTGGGAAAAAAGAGGGACTTATCACGAGTAACTCCCCATTACTGGCACGAGCAGTCAGCTGTGTAGAGGTGCCATTTACTGAGATCAGGAATACAGGAGAAGAACCAGTTGAAGGGTGGGCGAGATGGATTTGGTCCTGAACTCGTTGGGTCTGAGATACCCAAGGGCGGCTGTCACGTAGGCAACAGAATATATGGTGGGAAGCCTAGAGGAGGAGTCTGGGCTAGACATGTAAATCTGGGAGTCATCAGCTTTTTGGGTGGTCATTGAACAGTGGGAGTGGATGAGATTCCAAGGAAAACAGCAGAGAGTCTGGGCATAGCCTGAAGAAGCCCACCATTTAGCGGGCAGGCGGAAGAGGATGCGCCATAAAGGCAAGTCAGAGAGCGGCCGCGAGACCAGGAGGCTGCAGGACCATGAAAGGCCAGAGAAAAGCGGGAGGATGTGCCGTGCTGCTGAGAGGCCAGGTGAAGTGAGACACTGAGAACGCCCGTCGAATCCAGCACCGCGGGAAGAACCGTTTCACTGGAGAGACAGTCTTAGAATTCCAGAAGAAGAGGGCAGAGGAGTCGAGCAGGGGACAGAGAGCCATCCTGCTCTGGCTGTGAAGAGCAGAGGGAAAAGCACTGCTGGAGGAGAAAGGGGGACCGAGGAAAGGTGATCAAAGATGATTAAAGCCGTTCATATCTTTCTGTCTTAACGGCTTCATTGAGGTATAACTAACATACGACAAGCTGTACATGTTTACAAGTGTAACAGCTTGAAAAGCTTTGACCCATGAGTATACCTGCGAAACCATCGCCACATGAGGAATACATTTCTCATCCCCCACAATTCCTCCTGCCCCTTAGTGATCCTTCCCTCTTGCTCCCTTCGCCCCCATTCCCAGGCATCCCCGATCTGCTTTCTGTCACCAGAGCCTGCATTTCCTAGAAGGTTATATAGACGGAGTTTCACAGTCACACATTTTTAGAAGAGCACTCCTCCTTTGCCTGACTTCTTCCACTCAGCATGATTCTGAGATGCATCTATACTGCTCTATATACCGACAGTTCACTCGCTTTCATTGCTCCGTGGTTTTCTATCACGGGGCGGTACCGTGATCTGTTTATCCCCTCGCCTGCTGATGAACATTCAAACCGTGTCTAGTTTGGGACTACCACAAATTCAGCTTCTTTGAACTTTCACGTACACGTCTTTACAAGAACACATGCTTCTGTCTCTCTGCAGTAGATAAGTGGGAGCTGAATGGCTGGGTGTGTGTCTAATTTTTTTTAAACTGCCAAACTTTTTTCCAAAGTGGTTTCACCGTTTTACTTCCCTTCGGTAGTGTATGAGAGAACCAGTTTCTCCACATCCCTGCCAACACTTGCATGGACAATCTTTTTAGTCTTAGACATTCTAGCTGCTTCTCTTTCTTTTTCAGCCCCGATCCTGTCTGGGGAGAGGATAAACAGTAAGGAAGTGGCCACGTATAGAAGGCAGAGGGGAAGAGGAGGAAGGCAAGCAGACGACAGCGGACACACTCCAGGTCATCAGCACTGCCTTGATCAAGAGTGAAATGCTTTGCTTAGTCTGCGCCCTGGGGACAAGCCCAGTGCCTAGCAAATGGTCTGTCCTAAGGATCATATGGTCAACATGTTAGCTCACTGCCTTCCAGGCCACGGTTCTATAGGAACCTCAGTTTGGGAAGGCTCCTCCATGGCCACGGTAGAGTGGGAAAGTGAGGGAGGGAAGGGTAAGGAGATTCATTCATTTTCACATGGGATTCTGGTTTGGCCCACACCCAGTACAGCAAGAAAAGAGAGAACATAGCATTTCTCTGCCCCCTGAGAAAAGCTGCAAGGGTGGAGGTAGGGGGTGGGGAGTTCCTAGAGCCGGTAAGCAGCACTCATTCCAGCACGAGGGGAGCCACTTGTCCTGCTGAGGAATCCGTCCTGCTCAGCCCTAAGAGAAATATGTCCCCTCTACTAATTGGGCCAAGAGTCATCAATATATAAGTATGTGGTAAGGAGGACTGACTCATGTCGGGAGCCTTCAGGAATTATGAACTAGTAAACTCTCTATTAAAATAATAGATCTTTAGATCTCTAGTCAAACCCTAAGGCCATCTCCAAAGTCAGATATATATATTAAGAGCACATGCAGGCCAATTATGATACTGAATTTTGGGAACCAGCCATTTATACCCCTCATGCTAGTGAGATAAAGAACCCAAATTACAATACCTGTAGCCGCCGGGAAGAACACGCCAAAGACAGTGAAAAAAGACTCCCCGGGACTGTAATCTGGCAGAGCGTTGTTCTGTAGCAGTTCCGGTGAATATCCAATAAAACCATGCTCTGAAATAATACAAAGCAGAGCAAAATGAGCCAAGTGATAAGCTATAGCAGAGACTTCCCTAGATGACAGTGCTATCTGATATAACTATTAAAAGGTAGAGGGTGTGTGTGTGTGTGTGTGTGTGTGTGTGTGTGTGTGTGTGTGTGTGTGTGTGTGTGAGAGAGAGAGAGAGACAGAGAGAGAGACAGGAGTTCTGACAGAACCACCCTCGTTCCCACTTCTAGGGCTTGACTTTTGTGTAGCCACAGCTGTAGATACAACAGATGAAATGACCTGCAGGAGATCAGTGGGGGCCTCTGGGGCGGGGAGCATTTTCATTTTTTGCTCTACAGACTTCAGTATAACTGAAATAGCTTTCAATGAGCACATATTTATGTGTTTGCTTTTCATTAAAAAAATGAACTGATGTTGCAAGTTACTTCCTTGCCCAAAAACTTCCATGGGTCCCCATTAGTTACAGAACAAAGCCCAGACTCCTTAAGATGAATATCAAAGCTCCCCACAACCAGCCCACCATATGCTATTCAACCCTTGCTTTCTCCCCTCCCCAACAGTCACACTTCCCAAGAACAGTCGCTCTTCCCAAGAACACTACTAATACTCATCCCTGTGCCTTCGCTCAGGCTGGGCCCCTGCCTTCCAGACCCTTCCCCCACACGGGTGAGCATCAACACTGTGCTCATTCACCAAGCCAGCTCAAACGTTGCTTCCTTTGGGCTTTACAACCACTCCCCAATCAGAAACTATTACCCTCTGCTAACTGCTCCCGGTACTATGACTGACCATACGAGGTATTTCCTCAACTAGATTCCTTGAGGCAAAAATCCAGTCTGACACATCTCTGTCCCCCAGAGGCAAGCACTGCACTGGCACACAGTAGGTAGGTTGCAAATGTGAGTCACGCTGAAAAGAATCTTCCTCTTAGATTGGCATATCTCGTTCCCAGGCTTTCACAGTTTGACTTGTTCACAGGCTACTTTATACCAGGAACATCTCAGACCTGATTTCTTCAATGCATTTTAAACATCAACTTTAACAAAGTTTTCAAATGCTTTTAATCCTACAGGCACTTGGCTGCTTTGCTGAAGGAGGTCACCTTGAATAGCGTCTGTGAACATGCTAGTGGGCTGTGGAATTTGAAGACAAGTACAAGTATTCTTGGGCTCGGAAACACCCAGGATATTCAGCCTCTGCTTCTGAATCTCATCTCTGAGAATAAGTTGGCTTATTCCTCTTAACTACAGTCCAAGAGAAGCTGATCCCTGCTCCTTTTCCCTTGACACCTGCAATCACGTAGGATGGGTTTTCAGCCAGCACTCCACAGCTGACCCCTAGGTCCTGTGAGCGTCATCCTCCACCCACCTCAGAGCTGAACTTCCACCTGAGCTTGCATCCCCCAAACACAGCTCCTGCTACACTCATGAATCCAGTGAGGTCGCCCGCACATCTCACAGCTTCCAAGATTCATAACTTCATAGGAAAAATATTTCTCAAAAAAATAATAAAATGAAAGCTCAGTGAAGCACAAGGGACCCTTGGGAGTCCAGTCAGGACTTACACTGATTGCCAGTTGCTTTCTTTTGCCTGAACACAGAATTTGTTCTGGCACATTAAATCCCAAGTACTGCGCAACATTTCTGAATGGTTTGGCATCTTCACAGCTGGCCCTCCCCTCATTAACAAAAAAGCAGTAATAGCTAAGTTAACTTTAGCTTATCCGCTGGCTGACCTCACTGACTAGTCTTTGTGAGGAGAAAACCAGCCCAGCCTGCCTTGGAACTGAGCTCAGTGACCTGGAATGATGCACAGGTCTGAAAGCAGATCTGGGTGGAGGGCTGGGCTCTGTGCAGGACACAGACACTTCACAGGGCACATCATCTGGACAGTCCCTAGGGCAGCCCTGACACAGGGAAGGATGAGGTCACCACCAGGCCTCAGTGGCTTTGCCCTGGTCGGCCTGAAGGTTCAGAAGAATTTCAGGCCCAATAGATGCATCTCTGGGAAGCATTTTTTCTACCTCCATCACCCAACAAGATCCACAGGCTGAGAGAATGAGTCACTTGGCTCCCACATGGGTCAGGGGAGGTGGCCTACCTCAGTTGCCCTCCTCTGCAGGGCCCATGAGAAATGAAGCCCTGACACACTCACAAGCACACACTCACGCTCACCTGCAGCTGGCCCAGCTGGACCCAAGTCCAGTCCTGAACCTTTCTCAAGACAATGATCTTAACTTTGAAGAGAACTCTGTGGACAAAGATATTTGTCAATGCTTTATCTATAATAATGTAAAATCAGAGGAGAGTCTAAATGTCTAACTACGGGGGACTGAGATATTTAAAATGTTTATAAAGAACTTTTAGTACCATAAAAAACTACATTCTATATCACATATGTTAAGTAAAAACAAACAAACAAACAAAAAAACAGGTAACATTTATAGTACAAATACAAAAAGAAAGTTTTTGGGGGACTGAGATATTTAAAATGTTTATAAAGAACTTTTAGTACCATAAAAAACTACATTCTATATCACATATGTTAAGTACAAACAAACAAACAAACAAAAAAACAGGTAACATTTATAGTACAAATACAAAAAGAAAGTTTTAACTTATCCATGTAAGTCTAGAAGGAGACATACCAAAATACTAACTGTGGTTGTCTGCATAATGTAATTATGCGCAATTTTTTTCTTTCCACATTTTTAGATGAGCATAACCTACTTATCAATAAATGATATCTTTTGGGAAAACAAACAAAACAACCCATAACTAAAAGCCTACTTTCTCCAGGCAGACTTTCTGCATATGAATATCTTTTTGTCCTTTCTTTTTCTTTCCGTTTATACTCTACCTGCTTCCCAAAATGATTTGAGTGGCTTATGAGAAAAACATAAGCAAGATAGGGCAAATAAAATAAAGACCAAAAAAGGAAATGAAAAGAGAGAGAGATGGAGAATGCCCTAAGTTGTACATCTGTGACACACGGTCGAGGTCTCCGAACAAGGCTTTGAGGCAAGAGCCTGTAATGATCTCCCTGAAACCAGACTTCAGGGCCTAGAGCTGTTGGAGCAAGCCCACTCAGGCAGGGCATGTGACCTGTGGCCCATCCCTCACGTGAGCCACTTTCCAACGGATGAGAGAGAGTCCCTGAGGCTGGCATGATGGACCCTGCCCCAATTCCTCTGCCCAAAACTTCTCAGGCCCTTATGACTTCCACTGCCCCACCTCAGGGTCCCCAGTCCTGAGGCAGCCCCCATGGAGGCTTGCTCCACTGGTCCCCACCCTGTCTGTGGGGGGTCTGTTCTCTCTCCCATACCTGCATCCTAGGGGTCCAGCCAAACCTGGAGCTTCTGTAGAGTGGGTGCCCACTCTGATGCTTCTGAGGTGCCGGTACTGGTTAGCTGAGCCATGGTGTGGGGGCAGCCAGTCACACTCAGGGTCAGGGCTGTGGCTGAGGCAAACACCACCTGCCATGCCCTCCTACAGTGGCTCTTAATGCCTAACTCACTGACATCTGCACCAAAGGTTTCTGATTCTTTTGGCCATGGCTCATAGAGTCTGATGAAAGTCTCCACAGATACCACATTTTGCATACCATTTAGGGGTTCCCAGATCTCTGAAGCCTCTCTGGCGGACACAGACCCTGATGTCCAAGACCTCTACGCTAGGAGCTACCTCTACACCTGAGACTGTCCTGCCAAGCCCTGCATGCAGCTAAAACTTCCCAAGCCCTGACTGCTATCATGCCCTGCCTCAGAGTTAATGGAAGCCCTGGGAGTGACACAGCCAATAATGTTTTTAGACTGCAGTCTCTGCCAGGAAAAGAGGAGACTGTGTGTGTGCACAAACAGAGATTGTGTGAGTCTCCCTGAGGGCAATTTCACTTCTGAAAATACTGCTCAGTCACCATTTGCTGAGCACCTATGTGCTAGTCACAGAGCACCAAGTCCTTACAGTGTCATCCTTGATCCTCACAACTGCCCTGCAAGATAAGAGATGAGGAAACCGAGGCTCAGGAAGGTGAAGAATCTAATCTAAGGTCACACAGCGAGACCTGTCTGTATTTCACCAATGGCCTCTCCCCAGGAGGTAGGTCCCAGGCCCCAGGACTGCCCTCCCTCACAGAGATGCACACAGCATGAGTTCCCCTGCAGCACAGGGTCCCCTGCAGCCCCAGGAAACATGCCCCAGAGATCATGGCATCTCATTCCAGCTCCATCTGTGGGGGGAAGGCAGGGGTCCTACCCTGGGGAATGCAACACGCTAAGGGCTCACACAGCTGGGAGGACACACAGCCCAGCCTGGACACTTGGTCCATCTGAATTCAGCTTTCCATCTACCCTACTGTCCCTCTGTAATTCATCCTGGAGTTGTTTCCTGAGGGATTTCCAAAGCTTTTTTCTTGACCTCAAAAGGGTCTTTTTGCCTGTGGGTCTTCCTGTTCTCCTGCTGGTGAAACAGGGTTTCTGGGCTGGGGTCCTTTTAGCTGACATCTTCCAACTCTGAAAGGCCTGGGACGCCCTGGGCTTGCAGCTGCTGTGTGTGAATGTATCTGGGTTTGACCTGAACATCTGTTTCTGTATCTATGGGATAAAAATACTTTGGTCCCCTTTGAGCTGTGTGCTTTTAGGAAGAACAAAAACAGAACTGGGTGGGGGAAGAGAGAGAACAGATCATGACAAGACGCAGGCTGGAACAGGCAGAGAAAACTCCCTGAAGCTTGTCTGCAGAAAGCCTTATCTTCCCACCCTGAATCTGGGTAACTCAGACATCCTGTAATGCGGGCAGTGGGCTGTGGTTTGTTGGGGTCTACCGTCTGCCCCCAGGGTGCTCATGGAAGCCCACCCACCTCCCCTTGGCCAAAGGCAGTCAGACCAGGTCACAAATGGTGACGAGGAGCAGCTCTAGCAGGGCTGGGCTGAGCCTCAAGCTGGTGCCAGGCGCTCACACCCAGCAGCCCTTGTCCGGCTGCTGCTGGGAAGCTCTCTGTGGCACCT